GCTAAAGCTTCCCCTCTCCTGTCCCACCTACCGCTGTAGCTGCTACCATGAACATATGGCCTTTTCGTTCTTGGATATGCCTTCACATTGTGTGCACGCTATCTGACATGATTAAGAGGTGAACTCCCAGCTTCAACGCAAGCCGCGCAACAATCCCTGCCTCTTCTCCTCCCTCTGCAGCTTCATTCGGACTCGTCACTTACTGCAGCTCGCGCGAGCTGGGGCGAAAAGGCATCCTTCATTCAATCATTCACATCTCTTTTGGATAATTTGTGTGCGTTGTGTGACATGAATGCGAGACGGCGTGTGTGTGTAAGAGCTGGCCGACGGTGAGCAGCCGCGAAACGCTTTTCGCAATATTGTTAGATCCTCAGGCTGGTCTCGTAAGCCATCCGATCCCGAACGGTCAACAGCGCGTTTCCGATCCCGACGCACACCTGCATGCACAGAGCTGCCGACGTCCATATTGTTCTTGGGCCCACCGTGCATGGCACAAGCGGCAAACATCCGCAACAGATGCAACGCTTTCAAAACTTCCGGACTTGTAGGCGAGGTGTTGGCGAGTCCAACAAGCCTGGCGCCACGTTCTGCTGGTCCGGCAGTTGGTTCAGACGCGGGGTGCACGTGAGACAGTGCACGTCCGCCTCACCTGTGCACCGAGCCTCGCCCGTGGGATTCTGAGCTTTGTTTCGAACCGACCAGCAGCGGCCTCTCTTCTTTCTTCTGCGCACTCCGATCATCCCATCCCGGCGCCGGGAGTCCGCCTTTTCTTCACCCCACTCCGAACATCCATCCATCCAGCCATCCCCAGCCATCGGGAGCAGGCTCGCTGCGCACAAAGCGTCGTCGGGTTCGGGTCCTCTGCCTTGTCTTCATCCTTTCTCCACTTCAGCACGGGCGCTCGAGCGAAGTCGGCTCGAATGCAGCTTTCCACTCCACACCGCTGATGAGCTAGGCCCAGCGCGCGCTCCCCACGCATTCCACCCAGACCGCTGGAATCCCCACCCCCGAGCCGCCGTCGACCAAGCTGCAAGGCGGTCAGAGCGGTGACACGCCGAGACCAGACGCTCCGCAGCGTCTGAGCGAGCTTCATCCATGGAGCCGGCACGCACCAACCGCAAGGTGCTCCCCAACTACCTGCTCGAAGACTACATTCCTGTTCCCGACTCCAAGCCGTCCGCATCGTCGGTCGCATCGGGCTCCCACGCGCACAGCGATGCGCAGCACCACGCCGAATCCAGCACGCGCGGCGAGAACGGTGCTGCTTCTGCAACGCCAAGCGAAGCACCGGACGAGGCGCTAGGGTTTCTGCCACGTCGCAAGAAGCTGCGACAAGCGTGCGTCTATTGTCGTCGCTCCCATCTGGTGTGTGAAGAGAAGCGACCATGCCATCGCTGTGTCAAGCGCGGCATTGCAGATCGGTGTGTTGACCCGCCACAGGACGGCAAGCTGGACGAGGGAGCGCAAGCCAACGGCAATGCCAATGGCAACTCGGGCAAACAAAAGCCGCAACACTTGTCGCCGGCGTCGTCCGCCAACGGCGAGGATGCAAACGAAGGCGCAGATTCGACTCCGGACCGTGCATCGGAGGCACAGCGGGGCAGCAAGCGAAAACGCAAGTCGCATCCACTCAAACCCAGCGTGGCGGCCCCACCACCAGAGCACGATGGAAAGGGCCATCAGCCCCCCTTCTCCATGAACCACGCCGCTGCGCCGGAGCAAGCGAACTTCAACGCGGCTAGCGCCCAACGTCACGTCATGGCGTCCACGCTTGCTCCTGAATCGGCAGCGACGTACGCGGGTCTGCCCCTTACGATGCCTGTGTCCGCGGCCGCACCAGCACCAGTCCCAGCACCGGCTCCAGGGCGGAACGCGCCATCGCAGCTGCTGCAGGGACAGCCGATCTTTCAACCGCCGTCGTCGGCCGAGCTCGACTCGCTCTTCTCGACGTACTTTTTTGATGTGGCGGATTCGTTCAATGCGCGTCCGGGAGCGCCTCATCCAGGAGCGCCGGGACATCACGGAGCGCCTCCGACGGCGGTGGGTGGACACGCCATGTTTGGATCGCACCAGCAGGCGCATCCACAGCATCATATGCATGCCATGTCGAGTGCGCATGCTTCGCATCCGGTAGATACCGGACTGCAGCCGACGCAGCCGCATTTTGATGCAGGTGTTGGAGGCGCACACGACCCAAGGGTGCCGAGGCATGCCATGCCGGTCGGAGGTGGACCAGGAGTGCATCAGCAGCAGCCGCTTTCTTCGCGTCCTTCGCACCATGGCGCGGCACGAATGCCGGCGGATGCCGAGGACAAGTCGATCTTGGACGCAGCGCCGAATGCACTGCCTACCCATCATGGTGCCGGTGTGTTTGCAGGCGCCGATCGGTCGCAGCAAGGCGCGACGGAGGACAAGGAGGCCGTGACACGACAGAGGCCCGGTGACGTGTATGCGCCGTATCCGTACCGCAAGGGGTACGCGTCGTTGATGCGATACATGACGGAGCAGAACTGGTCGCAGCAGTCGATTCGTTCGGTGGAGGCGGCGTTGTCCAAGATCCGGCGGCTGTGGTTTTCTCTCGAGGACAACATCCAGCCTTCGAGCATGATCCAGCTGCAGGCCGAGTGGGCGGGCAACGTGCGGTACTATTCCGAATCGGTGCTGCCGTTTACGCCGGTGCCGATGGTGGTGTGCCGCAAGGCTGGCGAGGTGTACGCATCCAACGAGCTGGCGCACGAGCTGTGCGGGCGGTCGCGAGACCAGATGACGGGGGGCAAGCTGTCTTGCTACGAACTGATGACCGAGGCGTCGGCGTCCGAGTTCTTCCGGCTGTACGAGTTGGCGGTGGGCGGCGACCACGCGGAAGACGGCAGTTACGTGCCGACGGTGGGAAACACGGCGCCGCTGTACTGGAACGCGGACATTGTGCGTCCGAACGCGGATGGAACGGCGAGCGTGCGACGTACGCGCGGGGTGTTTGAGATGAAGATTGCGCCGTGCGGGTTGCCGTCTCTGCTGGTGTGCTGCTTTGTGCCGCTGTCATGAGCGCATGGCATGGACCCGAGCTTGCGTGATAATGTAATTGTACCAACCAATGTCGATTGTATAGAGTGTGTTTGGCTGGGATGGTGCTCAGAACTCGAGGATATCTGGCTCATCGGGCAGGATGACGATGTCGAGACCCAAATTGGTGTGCTGATCAACGCTCAAGAGGTCGATTTGGCCGAGAGTGTGTTGCTGGCTTTCCACAGGTAGCCAGTGTGCCTCGTCGTCGCTGTGGGGCAGGTCAGCGATGTCGAGCTCGGGCGTTGGATTGGCGGGGCGTTGGTGAGCCATTCGCTTGTATGCTGACGGCGATTCGTGTGCGGGAAAGACGGTGTGATCGAGACGAGTGAGAAGCGTTGACAAGCACGCTGTAGCAGGCGAAGAGTCTATCGCTTCCAACCGAGTGAGGACTGGGGCGAGCTTGGCTGGATCTGCGGCATTGTGTGCCAATGTCGAGAGCGATTGGGCGATAGTGACGATGAGCGGGTCTACCTGGACACGGCGCTGTCGCCACCAGCGGTGAAAGAGGCTGGCCGAGAAGGAAGAGGTGAGAAGCGTCTCGACTATGATGCGCGAGGTGGCACGATGGACGGCGTCTCGCAAGTGGGTCGAGAGCGGTGTCTGTTGTAGTAGCAGCGAAAGAGGCCATGGTGGGTCGGATCTCGAGTCAGACCAGTCGAGGCGCACGAGGGTTTGGTGGCGGTAGGAAGCGTGCTCGAAGGTGGTGCTTGGGACGAGTCTCAGTGTCAAGGCTGCCTGCTCGAGCTTCGTGTGAGAGCTTGTGGAGAGATCTGCAATGTCGAGCCAGCCATGGCGAAGCTGCATCCGACCAAGCGGTCAGTCGAGCAAAGGATCAGACAGGGAAGAGAGGAGCATGAAAGCTTACCGACTTGATCTGTTCGAGCATAGCACGAGCGATGGCGGAGAGGTGTTCGTGGCTCAGCTCAAATCGAGGATAGTGTGAAGAAGTGGCAGCGCCAGTGAGGATAAGGTGATGGCCGAACTCATCTGGCTTAGGCTCGGTAGAGAGTTCATCTGCGCTCGCGATGGACGAGAGCGATACTCGAACGGCGACGCCTAGCTCGCTTTCGAGTGTCCAGCAGTTAGATTCAGGGGCTGTGGTGGCTGCCATGCTTATGCTCATAGTTCAGGGCAGTGCGTGTGTCTCGGCGGGCGTAGGAAGCAAGGACTGAGGCGGGGGCTTTAAATGAAGGTCAGTCGAGGCTGGCTCAGCAACAAGCACATCGGCACACAGACGCAGCGCAACGAGAGCGCAGAGTCGTGATGAGTGATGATCGAGCTGAGACGGAGGCAAGCCGACGATGGCGAGATGTGATGGACTCGGCGAGATCTGACGGCTGGCCCGATGTGATGGCTCATGGCGCAATTGAGCGGCTTCTTTCTACAGTCACGCGTGTGACAGTCACATGCATCTCCAGAAGAAGCTCGGTGCAGCATTCCGAAAGTGCGGCAGATCCGAGACCAGTGCGGAGAGTGCGGAGCTGGTGCGGAAGTGCAATTTCGTCGGCCACCGCGGCGTGGAGGCTTCCGAACGCTTTGCTGCGCTGCTTGAGCTTCCTTCCTTGTTGTCATCCCACCCTCATCGTGTGATCTCTTTCGACCCTCTGTCAAAATCCTGCAAAGATGGCCGGACTCTTCTACAAGTCGCCTGCGAGCGCCTACGTGGTGCCGGGCGTGGTCGACCTGACGCAGCCGTCGCTGTGGATCGCAGTGGGCAGCATCTGTTTCAACCCGCTGTACTGGAACATTGTGGCGCAGAACGAGTACCATCGCAAGACGATCACCAAGCTGCTCGGCGGACGTCGCTACCTCGGCTGCTACCTGCTCGCCGTGTCGATCTTTTCGCTCGGGATCGTGCGCGACCATCTGTACAATCTGGCGCTCAAGGATCAGCCTACGCATTCGCTGCTGCAGCAGTCGTGGGTGAAGCCGGCGGCGGCGGTGCTGTTTGCGTCGGGCAACGTGTTTGTGCTGTCGTCGATGTACGCACTGGGCGTGACGGGCACGTACCTGGGCGACTACTTTGGCATCCTGATGGAGAGCATGGTGACGGGCTTCCCGTTCAATGTGATGGCCAACCCCATGTACTGGGGCAGCTCCATGAGCTTTGTCGCCGTGGCGCTGTGGTTCGGCAAGCCTGCTGGACTGCTGCTGAGCGTGCTGGTGGTGATCGTGTATGCGATCGCACTGCGCTTCGAGGAGCCCTTTACGGCCAACATCTATCGCCAGGCCGAGAAGCTCAAGAAGGCCGAGGCCGAGAGGCAGGCGCTGCTCGAGAGCGACGGACCGGCTTCGGGCACGCGCAACCGCAACAGGCGCACGCCCTCCAAGCCCAAGGCCTGAGCGGCCTCCCCAATGGCTCGTCGCTAGACACTGCCAGCGACCTCTAGACCCTTCAACAGCATCTCAAGACGTCGCGCACTTTGTCTCCCTCTTTGCCCCCCCTCCCCCCCCCTCTTTTCTCTCGAGCTGGCTTTGCGATCGCATCGCCGGCTCTTTCATTCCACACATACCCGATCCTAGACCTTCGACGTTGGCCATACTAGCCGTGCGGACGATAAGGATCGCCCCTGTATCACTCAACGTGTACTTGTACCTTTTCTCCAAAATGCTCGCAATAGCTCTTCATCCTATGCTGCGAATGTGAGTGTGGTCTTGATCCGTGCTTTCCCGCAGGCTGGACCCTGGGAAGATTGTGTGATTGTGCCAAAAGGCTCAGGCGCGGGTCCGCACCGTTGACGCGTTCACGCGCCAAAAAAAGGCCGCATTGCGCTGGGGCCATGCACGCCAACCCACCTTTGCCCCACCTGCAAGCAGATCACTGACCCCACTCAAGACGTCGCTCGGCAGCATTGCAAGCGTCGAAATATCACCATCACGACGGTCGACTATATGCATTGGACAGCCAAGCAAAAGCGGAGAGTGTGTGTGTTATGGGCGGTGTGAGATGTGGATGACCCCTGGGAGAAAAGGGGCAGAGCAGCGAGTCTCCAAATGCACCTTGGCTCGGTGTACCGCGGCGCTGTGAGGCAAAGAGAGGGAAGAGAGAGCGAATTGAAATGGCAGCGCAATCATAATATTAGCAAAAAGCATCGATCGCATTTCAAATCTGGCCAGACAGCCAAACAGCGAAACAGCACAGCCCTTTTTTGGGCATTTTCCGCGCTTTTTCGCGCTTTTTTCCGTGGGTGGTTGTGGGTGTGGGTGTTGATTTGGGGAGGGGGCAGCAGATCAGCCAGCAGTGGCAGCAGCGGCTGGGCCGAGTGAGTGAGAGAGTGTCGTGTCTCAGCAAGCGCATCTGATCCGAAGTCAGCCTCGGGAGCAACCCCCTCTCCAGCGCCAAATGTAGTCGGGCGTCACTCTCTCTCTCTCAGAGCAACGCGCAGTGCAGCGGAGGTAGTGATGGGCAGCGCTCGCTCGACTCTCCTTTCTCCACCACCGCCCTCCACCCTTTCTACACCTCCATCACCACCACCACCTCGCTTCGTCCTTGCTCTCGTCGTTGTTGCCTCTGCCAGCACGCACAGCCTCGCTCTTCCACTGCACCCGCGCCATCCCGCACCGCGCCTCGATCCTTCTCACCCGACCAACGCTGAGATCCCACCGATCCAATAGACATACAAGCCGGCTTCGCTCTTGGCCCCGTCTCTCTCGCCAGTCACTTCTCGTCTACACTCCCATCTGACGCGATCTAGATCGCCTCGATCCACCCTTCACCATGGCTGTAAGTATACAGCTTCCACGCTCCTCGCCCAAGTTGCGATGAAACTCACCACCTTCTTCATCTCCTCTCTAGGACCCCTCCGATTCCAAGGTCGCCGAGGTCTATGCTCGCATCCAGACCCAGCGTCGTATCATGGAAGGCAACCAGGCACTTCGAGCCGCCACCACCAATCCCGAGGTCATTCGTCAGGCCGAGTCCCAGATCCGCGAGGCCCAGCGCAACATCTCCTACCTCCAGGAGTCCATCAACTCGCTCAAATCACGTCGCGCCAGCGGCGGGCCCGGATTCCGCACAGACAGCCCCACCGGCTCCTCCACCACCGCAGATCCCAGGCAGAGCTACGCCTCGTCCAAGACAAGCACAGGCGCAAGCTCCATCAGCGGCAACCGTCCTTACCCAACAGACAGCAGCTCCTCCTACCTCGGATCCAACCCGCCCTCCCCCGCCGTCAACCCTCGCCGATACGATGGTCGTCCGCTTCCCTCGGCGCCCGACTCCGGCGTCGGCAGCGCCGGCCCTGAAGGCTCGTACGCCCAGTATGCCAACCAAGGGCCCTACGGCGCAGCCTACTCGCCCAACGGCGGCCCCGAACAGTGGCAGCCCGCCATGCACCGCATGGGCACCAGCGCAAGGCGCAACTTCACCAATCTCGACTTGATCAAGGACGACACCCCGCACACAACCGCAAAGATCTCGCGCATGCTCCACCAGCTCGAGTTCAAACTCCAGATCGAAAAGCAGTACAAGCAGGGCATCGACAAGATGGCAAAGCTCTACCAGGCAGAGGGCGACCGCAAGAGCCGCAACGACGCAGAGTCAAAGCGCATCGAGTCCCAGTCCAAAATCGTCCTCCTTCAGCAGGCCCTCAAGCGATACAAGCAGCTCCACGTCATGGAGGAAGAGGAGGACAACGCAAGCCCAGAATCGGTCGAAAACCGCAAGCAGAACCTCCGCAAGCCCCTCTCCGGCACCCTCCAGATCTCCATCCGCAGCGCACGCGACATCGATCACTCCCCCGTACCCCGCAACACGCGCTCCGTACGCGAATCCACCGTCGTCATCAAGGTCGAAGATACGCCCCGCGCACGCACCCATCCCAGCCGCAACGAGCGCTGGCAGGAGGACTTTGAGATCGCCGTCGACAATGCAAACGAGCTCGAGGTCACCATCTATGACAAGGTCGGCAGCGCCCATCCCATCCCCGTCGGCATGCTCTGGATCCGCATCAGCGACATTGTCGAGGAGCAGCGCAAGAAGAAATTCGGTCAGGTCCCCGACGCCTCCCAGCACGGCCATGGCCCCAGCGAAGGTTGGGTCACCGCCGACAGTGTACAGCCCAGAGCTGGCGGCGGCCCCTACGCCGCAGCTGGTCCCGCTCCCGGCGGCGGTGTCGACGGCGCATACAACGGCCCCGCAGGCGCTCCCGTGCCCAATGGCCCCAGCGACGGCGTCGAAGCCTGGTTCGCCGTCGAGCCCGCAGGCGCCATCTACCTCCACCTCAACTTTATCAAGCAAAACGTCCGCAAGCGTCCCTACGACGCGCGTCTCGGCCGTCAGGGTGCATTCCGAAAGCGCAAGGAAGACGTCGCAGAGATCAACGGCCACAAATTTGTCTCGCGACAGTTCTACCAGGTGCTTCGCTGTGCCCTCTGCGGCGAGTTCCTCCTCAATGCTGCCGGCAGCCAGTGCGAGGACTGCCGCTACGCCTGCCACAAAAAGTGCGCACAAAAGGTCGTCACAAAGTGCATCTCCAAGAGCAACGCAGAAGCCGACCGCGACGAGGTCAAGATCAACCACCGCATCCCGCATCGCTTCGAGCCCATCACCAACCTCAGTGCCAACTGGTGCTGCCACTGCGGCTACATCCTCCCACTCGGCCGCAAGAACGCGCGCAAGTGTTCAGAGTGCGACATCACCTGCCACACCGACTGCGCACACCTCGTGCCCGACTTTTGCGGCATGTCCATGGAGATGGCCAACCAGCTGCTCAGCGACATTGAGACCATCAATAGGGTCAAGTCGTCCGCAAAGACCCAGCAGCAGATCCAACAGCCGCCTCCTCAGCATGCGCAGCAGCAGCAGCAGCAGCCTTACTCGGCCGGCAGTGCGTACAACGCCAACAGCGGCGCCATGGCCGGTGCGCCTGTCGGCCGCGTGACTCCACCGCAGCTGCCTCCGCTTGCGGGCACCGGTCCCGACGGACGCTTCACTTCGCTCGAAAAGCAGACGCAGCAGATGTCGATCAAGCAGGATGCGCCGTACGCGTCGCCGAACAGGATTCCGCCGCCCTCGACCGAGCAACAGCAGCGACTGGGCGCCGGACCCAACTTTGGAGGCCGTCCAGCGCCGCCTCGCATGCAGGACGGCATGTCGCCTTCGGCGTCGGACCCGCGTCTGGCCGACATGTCGCGCCCGCCTCGCCCCCTGCCGCAGCCGTCGGGCTCTGGCTCGCCCATGCAGACGCCGCCGCCGCCGGCCAACAATATGTATGGCGCGCGTCCTCAACCTCCATCCGGCTTTGCTCAGCCATCACCGTCGTCGCAGCAGCAGCCGCCGTCGCAGCAGATGCACGGCATGCTGCCGCCCTCAGCATCTGTGCCCAACGCTGCCGTCAAGCAGCAGCAGCAGCAGCCGCAGGCGATGCCGCCCGCACAGCAGCAGCAGCAGCAGCAGCAGATGCCTCCGCCGTCCCAGGGACCCGGCTCGGCCCTTGTGCCGCAGTCGGCTGGCGCCGCCGCTCAGCAGCCGCCTCGCATGCTGCCGTCGTCGCGGCGCAAGATCGGGCTCGACGACTTCAACTTCCTCGCGGTGCTGGGTAAGGGTAACTTTGGTAAAGTCATGCTGGCCGAGGAGAAGCGATCGGGCCACCTATACGCCATCAAGGTGCTCAAGAAGGAGTTCATCATCGAGAACGACGAGGTGGAATCGACCAAGTCCGAGAAGCGCGTCTTCCTCGCTGCGGCGCGCGAGAGGCATCCGTTCCTGCTCGGCCTGCACTCGTGCTTCCAGACGACGACGCGCGTCTATTTCGTCATGGAGTACATTTCCGGAGGCGATCTCATGCTGCACATCCAGCGCGAGCCGTTTACGCCGCGTCGCGCCAAGTTCTATGCGGCCGAGGTGCTGCTGGCGCTCGAGTACTTCCACAAGCAGGGCATCATCTACCGCGATCTGAAGCTGGACAACATCATGCTCACGCTCGACGGACACATCAAGGTGGCCGACTACGGTCTGTGCAAGGAGGACATGTGGTACGGCAACACCACTTCGACCTTCTGTGGTACGCCCGAGTTTATGGCGCCCGAGATTCTGCTCGAGCAGCGCTATGGGCGTGCGGTGGACTGGTGGGCGTTTGGCATTCTGATCTACGAGATGCTGTTGGGCCAGGCGCCGTTCCGGGGCGATGACGAGGACGAGATCTTTGATGCGATTCTGGAGGACGAGCCGCTGTATCCGCTGCACATGCCTGCAGACTCGGTGTCGATTCTGGAGAAGTTGCTGACGCGCGATCCGAGCAAGCGGCTGGGATCGGGTCCGACGGACGCGGACGAGATCAAGAGCCATCCGTTCTTCCGGGACGTCAATTGGGACGACATGTTCAACAAGCGCGTCCCGCCAC